TTCATCACAAGTGAGAGTTGAGGTGATAGTTTATACATTATCACAGCATGGCTGTTGGCTAAAATAATAGTAATATCGGTTGCCTTAATTATGTGCTGTGTTGATTGCAGTCATTAAGTTTATGAACTAACTGAGCTGATTTTGAGGGTTAATTGTTGCGGAGATGAATATAAATATCCTTTTGAGATGTAGATCTATATTGCAATTATGGTTAGTATACGATTATTCACCGAATTAGAGCAATAGGTTTTAATGACAACTAAATGTGCCCCGTTTAATTGTAAAGTAAGCCATCATTGGGGAAAGTCCTCCATATTGGCTTTGGGCCATGTAATCACACAGGGGAAGAGCCCTGAGAGACTCCGTTAATCAGCCTTGACTCAGTGTGTCAAAGCCTGGAGACCCCCAGTGCTCACCATCTGTGCCAAACACGGAGTCATTAGTGGGAGTAGACCTGATAAACACACAGGGGTCAACCTAAAGCAGAAGGATGGTAAGATGCCACAGATCCTATGACATGTAACGGAGTCTTGTACCTTTCCACTGAAAAACACATAAAACGGTCATGTGATTGTACATGTAAGCAGAGTCAGAGATATGAAACAGAGGAGTCTGCTCGTATAAAAATAACACAATTTGGAGGCTGTAGAAAGAACTGCCTTAAAGTGAGATCACTTCAGCAAAATTTTGCATACAAAAAGCTATATTGTTGAAAACTTTAGCAATGCAAGAAGCACAGCTGACACAGAAGTCACTGTCAAATCAAGCAGATATCTGTTGGTGAATTTGCGTGACCAACCTGATCCCAATGCAAAATCAGCACTAGGAAATATTTCGCCCTCAAGCAAGATTCCAGAGACAACAGTTTTGGAGGATTCATTCAGTCTTTCCCCATTCAAGTAGATAGGGCCTATACTTGTCTAAGTGAAAACAGCTATTTTGAACTATTTATCCTTTTATGTTTCAACATTTTATTTGGGTTTCATCAAAATGTCATAACTCAATCTTCCAGTGAAAACAACTATTCTCTGGTTACGTGTACCCAACTTCTCCAATCATTTTGTCTGCATAAACCCTACACCTCCTTACAAACAACTGCAGCCTGGAATTAAGATCTGCCACCATCCAATCTAAAGGAACTTTGGATTTTGTTCAAGTTTTGTTGTTGTTGTTGTTTTGCAGCTAAACTTGCCTAGATGGAAAATAACACTCAAAATAGCACCATTAGAATTAAGTGACAGAGTTAAACAGGAAAATGTCACAAGCTGACTAATGTTAGCGGGCCATTGTGCTAATCGCAGTCAGAACTGAATAGCAGCTTCTATCAGTTGTCCACACGGAGGACAGCCACGTGCACCGAGACTGATGTGCAGACGCTGCACCTGTGGGAACCGACATGGAGGGACTGAGGGCCTGTTTCCTGACATACAATGAAAGAGGAAGCTGCTGCTGCTACTTTGGAAAAATATGATAAAACCAACCTGCTTTGTATTTGAGAGAATGCCGGGAGACACTTTCAACTAAACAAGAAAGATTTGCAGAAATACTCTTCAATGTCTTTACAGATATTTCTAGTTCTCAATTTAGGCAGAGGACCAAAATGTTCCTTTAGCATGTGGCTATTGTACCGTATAACATTCACAAAAATAAAGTTCCAAATAGGTATTTTTTATGTTCTTGTTGTGGTGCCATGAACTATTTTGGGTTCCAGAAAGAACCTTTTGGTGAACAGTTCTTAAAAGAAAAATTGTTCTTAGTGTGAAGAACATTAGAATAGTTTAAAGAAACTTTTGTGCAGTTGAAATATTTTATGGACATTCAAGGTTCTTCATGGAACCATAGATGTAAAGAAAGTACATTTATTTGTGTTCAATCACTATTCATGAGTAGAAACTATTAAGTCACATAAAACAAACTAAATATATTCACAACTATTCAGTCCAAAATTAGCACTAATTCCTCCTGTCCTTTAAAAACTCACATGAACAATACAGCCACACATTCACTGCATAACACATCTCTCCATGATGTGAGAATCATCGCTCCTCACACAAAAAGGCACGATTCAAATTTTGTGCCTACTTGTGAACCAGAGGCTAAGGTTAACCCACTTCCAATATTCCACTTAGCATTCCTGTTCTTATAGCAAGAAACAAAGACACAAATGTTTCCTAGCAGCAAGCATAAAAACAGCGCACCCATTTCTCAACGTTTCAGAGAGTCCATGGATTTGCAATTAAAGCACACTTTTAAATAGGGGGGATTGTCCATGGAAAGGGTGCACAGAGAATTCCGACACCTACGAACACCAAAGCCAGGCCGGATCTCTGCATAAGTTTGCCTCGAGTGTGACCTAAACGATGGCAAACAGAGGAAAAAAGGAAGACAAAAAAGGAGCAATATTAACCAAACTAGGGCAAGCTTTCCAAATCCCTTTTGACACCATAATGAGGGTACCACAAAAAAGAAACAGGTTAATTAAATCCACTCAGTAAATTAATGCGGAGGCCTTCTCTGACTACGGATGGCATCGATTCATCTCCAGGGGAGCGGATTCAACCTGAAAACAAAAGATCTGTAGCTTCTGTATCACCAAGCATTACCTAACCTGCCTTCAGGTTAACTGTGGTTGATGAAAACCACCTATACCAATTGGTTCTACATTAAAAAATATCCTGTTAAAAAATGCATTTGGGACAAAGCAATGCATTTTTTTTGTTATTTTACAATAAGATGCCATAAGTTGTTTCCTTCAATTCCTGAATCTTTATTTGCTTGTTAATAAACTTAACTAAGAGGGTGGATTCAATGCACTAAACTATTTATTTCCTTAGGCTTGCAATGCTCAGTTGTATTATGAACATAATAAAATGCTCTTCGTTATATGAGGTGCATATATTCATGCTGCAGGGTTTTTTGTATGCTTATTCCGTTTAAAATATGAAACATTTATATATTGCAAATGACTAAGCAAAAACTTCAGTGTGCGCATTTTTGTAGATCAGATTCTGAGGCAAGGACACCGCAGACAAACTGCAGAGAATCACGACTTTGAAGTGAGATGTAGGTCACACATCTAGCATGAGCGCACAGTTAGCAAGCGCTAACATGGTTCTTGAGCTGCAGCACAGCAAATAATTATCTGGAGCGCTACAGTGCATGGTGGGAAAAAAACAGCATGATCTGAGAATGTTGTACTGTTGACCTCCAGAAGGCATGTCGTGCTATAGGTAAGAGAGAACAAGTCTACTGTCCTGGCGAATCATCCATGGTGACTGGCCCAGATCTCTCGTCCCAGCATGAGGTCAGCGTTGCTATGGAGATGGACCAGCTGAGTAGTAATCTGCTGTTGTTTATGCATGGCCAGGGAGGGGAGGGGCAAGAGAGGATTGAGGAAAGGGAGGGTGGGAACGTGATGGGCATCTCCTCCGCTCAAATTTGCATATTATAGCGTTCACTGCAGCACATTCATCAGATCAAACCGGAACCAGTTTAGGCAAAACCACACAAAATGAGGTTAAAAGAACAGCAGCACTAGATATATGGAATATATTCTAATAACACAGATGCCAAAGGCAACCTATAAGACAAAATGCAGCAAATCACTCATCAAGGGTTTCTGCGTTCAAAAAAATACCACCGAATTCTATAGGCTGAGGTAAAAAAGGGGTGTGGTCTTATGCAGTATTTCACTGGCTCCACCCTCCCGATACTCTCCTCCTCCACATGAATATTACCAATGGGATAATGCATTAAGCCCCTTCAAACCCCTCCTGAAGAGCGCTCACTCTAATCCAGTGAGATTTTAATAGTCACAAGAGACCCTATTTTTGAGGATCACGTTGAAACATGCTCTCAAGCGTTCAGTAAATCCGTGGGTCTGTGCTGTGTACCACAGAGACATGCACACAAGCAGACAAGTCCCTTGCCACACCTCTTTCTCTACATTAAGACTCATCTTTATCTCCATGGTTCCAGAATTCCATGTAAAGGACAATTTCAACAAGGAAAGTGGCTTTGTATGTGGCGCCACCCACTGACTAAACATCCTCTTTACTGAAATCAATGTCTGTTCACTGCATGTTGCTGTCCGTTACTCAGAATCCTATTTATAGGTTTCTCTTTAAACATTGCTCAGTATTACAACCTCAAAAATCCACAATTTGAAAAAGAAGGAAAAAAAAGGCAGATAAATTATACAGTGGTGAACAAATGTCTGAGACTACGGAAAATCTGAGATTTTGTGTCATTTAAAACTGAAACTTTTACGATTTTGAAAAATCTTTAACAAAATGAAATATTTTTGGATTGCATACCAAATACTAATGAATCCTGAAAATTCACTTTTTTAAAAATTAAACTTTACACTTAAATTATGTTAATAATGTCATTTATATTTATTTTTTATTATTTTACAATATAATATATTTTTGTTATAATTTTGGACAGATGGTCAGTTTAGCACAGGGCTAACATACTGCATGTGGATGACGATTCTGATTCAACATTTCCAAAGAAATAAATATACCCAACAAATAGTCTTGAAAACACATAATTTAATCAAAATCTCTGCAAGCACTTTAGTATGTCAACAAACACTTTATAAAGTGGAAATGTAGATGGAGAAATTGAGAAAATTAAATGGTTATAGTAATAATAATAAAAAACTTGGGGCAAAAACAAAAAAAACTAGTGCTGTCAAGCGATTAATCGCATACAAAATAAAAGTTTTTGTTTGCATAACATGTGTGTGTTCAGTGTATATTTATGTATATATATATATATATATATAAATACACACACATACAGTATATATTTACACGCATTTACATGTTTATATTTATATTCATATAATTTATATTCTAAATAAATATATTTAATATATAAACAGCATATTTTTCTGAAATATATACATGCATGTGTGTGTATTTTTATATACATAATAAATATACACAGCATACATACATATACTATGTAAACAAAAACTTTTATTTTGGATGTGATTAATCACGATTAATCATTTGACAGCACTAAAAAAAAAAAAAGCTTAATGTTCTGTAAACAATCAGCAACTTTTTAGCTACTGGCCCTGATCAGGATCTTATTTGTGTGTCTTTATAGGGACATTTAGGAATAAATGAACAAGTGACCATTTATTATTTGCAGTGTATATTTTGTGATCACCATTAGCATTTAAAGCTATCTGATACCAAAACTCCAATTCTTAAGCTGAATGTGCCAGAAAATAGTCCCGAATGACTGAATCAATGTGTATAAACAGGTACATGTGAATCTGTATGGCTGCCAGACTCATGTCTTATCTGAGCCCCAGCAGAACTTTACTGTGTGAGAGGCTCATAAATATAGTGGCTCAGCAAACACTGCTTACATATGGAATGCATATGTTCTTCATGGATGATGCTCCTCATTTCCCCAGTGACAGCCTGACAGAGAAGACAAATGCAGAGATTACCGCTGAGGGAACCATGCTAACATATGGGCATTAATATAAACAGAAAATAATATTTTAAGTAACAGAGTTTTGGGCAAAACACGCATATGTGTTTAGCCCATTCAGTATTTACGTTTAAGGGGGGACTATGTGAGAATAGTATTAGACTCTGTTAGGTCAAGTTGCCCTTGCACTGCTCTGCTCTCAGATCAGAGAACAACACACTTCATGAGAAGATTTTCCTTTTTTTTTTTTACAGCTGGGAATGTTTCAGTTAGTTTTGAAGATCATGGTTGATTGTGGAAAGGAGAAGCAATGCTTAGAAGTATGTAAGGATCATTGGTTAGGATCTTACTTGTTGAAAGAGCTGTCTTGGAGGTTCAAAACGAGGCTGTCTGCACTCAGGTACACCTTGTTCTGAGAAGCTGAAACCTGGTGATAAGATATACACAGATTATGAGACAAGAACATTTTAAAATACCATACTAATATATACTATATTTTATATAACATAATATACTAAATACTATACATTACACTATATTCTATATTTTAATACATACTAATATAGCATTTACTGTAGAGACGGTTAGTCGGTTAAAATAACTGACTAGGTTGGCTTAATTTGACCTATCTAATGTGATTAAATTCATCTCTATTTTGACTAATTTTTTTATTGGACTTTCAAAAGTGAAGACTTAAGGTAATAAATCTTGCAACTAGATGCGTTTATTTGATCATGCAGTATAATATTTTTTGAAACCATGTTATATGATGGCTTTTTTCCACTTACAATGTTTAGGCAGGACTGAGTGCATATACTGTGCAATAATAGGCAAGTCATTCGGCCCTTGTCTTCATGTTTTGCTCATGTAAGGCTATGGAACTGAGAGGAAAGCCCTACATGAAGTCTCTTCTGCTCACCAAGGCTACATCTAATTGAGTAAAAATACAATAAAAACAGTACTATTATGAAATATTATTACAATTTAAAATAACGGGTTTCTATTTGAATCTATTTTAAATATCTGATGGAAAAGCCGATCATAGCTGATTCAGAATTCAGATTTTCTTTTTTTACTAGCAACTTGGATTCTGATACTGATACTGATTTTTAAGCAAATTTATTTATTGGCTTTTTGCTTTATAACAAACAAACTGGCTTTAAACAAAAATATCTAGCCATTTGAAATTAGAGGCAACCACTGCATTTTAATCACGATCTGCACGGGCAGTTGTTTTTAATTTGATTTAGATTAATTTCAGGATTTAAAACAAAAACAGAATGGTCTGAATGAGACACACTCTCTGACAGCAGGTGACGCTTATGAACAGGGTTGCCAGGTTTTCGCAATAAAACTAGTCCAATCGCTTTTCGAGGGGGGTTCCCCTGTAAAAATCGTATTCGGGGGTAAAATACACGTTTTTCGGCGAGGATCTTCCAGTAAAATTCACATTCCAGGGACTAAATATCTCGTTATTGGGGTCGCTTCAACCCGCGGGTTGACAGTGTTGAATAACAACCCGCGGCAACAGTGTTAAAGTAGCCAAATTCCATGGGAAAACCGCCGACTTGGCAACACTGCTTATGAACCGACCGCAATATAGCGTTTCCTTGTTTACCGCTGTAAGAGTTGCGCTTTATACGGAGGAGAAGAAAATGCCATTGCCATCGAAACTTTTCTTAAGACAGTTCCCTTCAGTGATACATTAACCCATAAATGTAATGCATTTTTGTACTTATTTAACTTTTTTTTTTCGGGATCTACTGGGACAGTGATAAAGATCTACCAGTCGATCGTGATCGACGGGTTGGCGACCACTGATTTAATGCATCCTTGCTGAATAAAAATATTCTTTTTGATACTTTGATACTTTTAATACTTCATACTTGCCACAAATATTTCAATGGTAGTGCATCAACATCTGTTAATATAAGTCAACCAATGATTTCTTTGTTTGAAGTGTGTCTTACCGTTTTGGCAATATTTTGGGCTGCTCTGATACGTCTGAGTTTTAGGTAACCAGGGTTCTTCATAACAGCTTGACCCAACTGGAGTGCACAAACACACAAAAACAAAAGCAAATTACTCTGTACCCTTGGTTGAGCCTTTGTTTACCGTCAGCAGACAGCCATTGACCTGCGGCCCATTTTAGAAACAGAATTGCATCATATCAGCAGGAAAGTATCCAACTGCAAAGTCAGTTCTGAAGACACCCAAAGTTTAAATGCTGAACATGACAAATCGAATCGAAAGAACAACTGATAAATGTCCATAATGCACAAACAAAAAAAGAGAGAACAAATGCTTTCAAATATGTTTTGGTTGCTGATAGCTTGTTGAGAATGAGGGGGCAACAGTTCAAAATAGCCTAGATGTATGACTGCAACAACTGACTGTGGCTTAATTAGCACAGAAGCAGTATTCATTAATTATATGTGATAATTACAGTCATTTACCACTCACAGATCTAGAACATAATAACAGGGAATAATAATTATATGAAATGTGGTGCTTGTAGATGAAAATAGTGCATTTGGGACATTTTAGAGTAACCACGGAAACCCCTTATAGCTTGAATAAAACAAGAGACATTGTTATAATAATCGCCAATATGTGTGTTGAAGTGCAGCAACAGCATACCATTTTAGCAGCCTCCGCTTCACCCTCAGCCTGTATAATCTTCTGTCTCTGGTCCTGTTTGGCCTTCTCTACATAGAACTGAGCCCTTTGGGCCTCCTGCTGGGCTACATGTCAACAAGAGAGACAGGTTATTTAAAAGAAAAAGGTCTCGCACACAGATATTTTCCTTTTTCAACATGACATTTCATACAAACAGTTTTGTGCAAGTTGAATACTGTTATTTGGTCAACAGGGAATACTGTCATAGAATGACCAGAGTGCCCTCAAGTGGAGAGCATTAGGATAAGCAAATATTATTCTAAAAAATACTCAATGCTTTCAAGGATGCTTCTAAAACACTTCAGTCCATACGATAAGCTGATAATTATTTAAATTTTTTAATGGATTATAATCAGTGTCAAAATAATACATTTTGCAGTTTTTTTCTACAGCTGCAACTCTCACAAAGTGAAATAAAAAAAAAGAAATAAAAAAAGTATATTGCTTAAAAATTGAAAAGCAGACCTTGATACTATTTACAAAATGTAGTATTTACAACGTTGTCAGCAATATACACTACTATTCAAAACTTTGGGATCAGTTTTTTTTTCTTAAATACGCATTTAAAACTGATCAAAAGTGACAGTAAGCTTTTACACTGTTACAAAAGGTTTAGATTTTCAAATAAATGCTGTTCTCGGTCACTGTTGTGTTTATGTAGACAAGAAACACACTTGAATAAACATATCTGAGAACCACCGTATCAAGTTGTCCACAATCTAGTCAACAATATTTTGAATAATAAGAAAATACAAAAGAAAAGAATGACACTCATACAGTGTGAACTAGTGTGACGTGACAAGCTTGATAATTGAAAAGCAGACCTTGATACTATTTACAAAATGTAGTATTTACAACGTTGTCAGCAATATACACTACTATTCAAAACTTTGGGATCAGTTTTTTTTTCTTAAATACGCATTTAAAACTGATCAAAAGTGACAGTAAGCTTTTACACTGTTACAAAAGGTTTAGATTTTCAAATAAATGCTGTTCTCGGTCACTGTTGTGTTTATGTAGACAAGAAACACACTTGAATAAACATATCTGAGAACCACCGTATCAAGTTGTCCACAATCTAGTCAACAATATTTTGAATAATAAGAAAATACAAAGAAAAGAATGACACTCATACAGTGTGAACTAGTGTGACGTGACAAGCTTGAACATCGCCATGGAAATAGGAAAGTGATATCTAGAATGCTGCTTTTAGAGCAGTTATTAAAACAAAAACAATAATGGTTTGTTTAAAAACTACCATGGATAAAGCAATAAAACAAGAGTTTTAAGGTAATATAGTATATGGAGTTTGTTATTGTCATCAACCAAACCGTGACCAGTTTTTATACCTAAAAAAAAATTTAGGCCTCTAATAGGCAATTTTAGCCAGGCCCTACACAGGAAAGTAAACAGGAAAGTAATCTGCAGCACATACTTGCGTTAATGTTTGGTACATGATATGATTAATGAAAATATAACCTCTGGATTATAGTGTAGGATGTTTGCTGTTAAAATGTTAAATGATGCACCCGTTTTGGTGCAACATTCACATTTTATGTGTTATATCTAAAATTTTCTTAATAGCAGAGACCAGGGGGGTATTCCGGAAAGCAGGTTATGTGACATACCTGGGTATGTGTAAGGGTAAGTAAGTAGATAAACTCAGCATGTTACCCTTGGGAGATATCATCAAGAAACATGGTGCTAGCTTTCACTGTTATGCTGATGGTACACAGCTCTATATTTCTTTGTGGCCCGATGAAACCTACAAATTTGCAAAACTAACGGAATGCATAGTTGATATAAAAAAACTGGATGACTAGTAATTTCCTAATGCTAAATTCTGATAAAGAAAAAGTGCACTTTAAATACCCGGATGATGCACTTAAATAACCGAAAAAATGAAGTGTGGAATGTTGGACACTTCATGCACTCAATTGTCGCAGCTTTAATTACATACCGAAGGGGGAGGGGCTATGAGACTCCAATTATGAATGACAAAATAACCATAAATAATTCATACTATACATGGTTGAGTACATAGTGCATAAGTACATAGTGTATGAGTGCGTAGTGTATAGTGCGCATTAGCAAATAATAAATGAAAAACTGACCATAAAAACAGTATTTTCCAGTCAAGATGGTAAACATTATATTTTTACCAAGTTCAAGGGGATACCCATATGTTTGGATTGTTTGGAAATCTGTATTTTATTTAAATCGTCATCATACTACTGCTCACAAACAACGGGGAAGCCAGAGTTGCCCTTGCCTCAAATTTCAAAGGTAAAATTCAGTCAACAAAAGCTTTTTGCCAAATGCATTTCGGACCCCCCCCGGACCCCCCAATACAGTAAAACTGTACATTTTAGAGTGGCCTTTTATTGTGGTCAGCCTAAGGCACACCTGTGCAATAATCATGCTGTCTAATCAGCATCTTGATATTCCACACCTGGTTTAAAGGCTGAAATGTGAAGTGCAGATCTTAAAAAGGTCTTACATTTGCAGATACCAGGTTATTTTATGGTACCATTTGGAATAACAATTTTTTTTTAATAAGCCCTTTTTAACTGTCCTCTTAGGTTGTTTTGAGAATGTTCTGTAGGCCACTAATTAAAAAAGGATCTCTGTACATTTGTTTGTTGCAAATTTACAGACAATGCAATTGAGATTTTACATATAAGTTTACATTGGCTTGTTGGGGTAATATTTCTGTCCACTGGCAACAAAGTTTTCCTTCTGAATTAGCATAACTGCACAAGTTTTATAGTTAATAAAAATCTTTAAAAACAAATTACATTAGTTACACTTTAATTTTCTTCAATAAAAAGGAAATTGAGTAATACGGTGTAAAACATGTGTGGTTGTGGATTAGTAATCTGGCCCCTTGGTATAAAGGAGAAAAAATGCTGTCCCTCGTCACTATCAAAGTTGCTCATCCATGACCTAGAATATCAAAGTCAACTGCGGGCGGCAGATCCTTTTCCTATTTAGCGCCCAAATTCTGGAACAATCTACCTAGCATTGTCCGTGAGGCAGACACTGTCAGTTTAAATCTAGGTTAAAGACCCATCTCTTTAACTTGGCATACACATAATACACTATCACATTTCTATAATTCAAATCCGTTAAAGGATTGTTAGGCTGCATTAATTAGGTCAACTGGAACCGGGAACACTTCCCATAACAACCGATGTACTCGTTACATCGTAAGAAGAATGGCTAATATCTACGCTAATATTAGTCTCTTTCATTCTTACTCCGAGGTCACTGTATAGCCACCAGATCCAGTCCAGATGGTGGATCAGCACCTAGAGATGACCTCTACAGCCCTGAATTTCAGCGGAGACCACGTCAACTAGATGAGCCCGAGAGACAGATCCCCTGTGAAGACCTCGTCACCTTGACGACCATCGGCAAAGACCACGAAAACCAGACAAGACCTCTGCACCTGTGTTGCAGCCTGGAATTAAACCACGTCATGCTGGTTTCGTCTGGCCAGAGGAGAACTGGCCCCCCGACTGAGCCTGGTTTCTCCCACGGTTTTAGTCCATTTCTGTCACCGATGGAGTTTTGGTTCCTTGCCACTGTCACCTTTGGCTTGCTTAGTTGGGGACGCTTGACTGATTGCACAGACACTATTGGAAGAGAGCTGAACTGGATGATGACAACACTGAATCATCAATGAGGTTATGTTTCGGAGTTAGTTTATTTCAGAGCTATCAGCGAATATTGACGAGACTCCAGTGGACATGGTAGATTGCGCACAATATATATTATAATTATATATTATTACAATATAGCAATAAAGTTAAATACTATACAAATATATTATAAAGCACTATTATAAGTGATAAGGTAATATTTAATTTGTATCGTTATATATTAATTATAAAGCACTATTAACAAGATATATTTATTCTAATATATTCATTCATCTCACACAGGGATCTGCATTTAAACTTTTTTTTTCTCTCTCTTTGCAACAGGACATTTTCTATACCGTATTTCTATTAAAAAAAATACATTATTATATTATACAGGGGTTAAAGCAAAAAAAAAATCCCGAGCCTGAACTTTTCCCTGGGGGCGGGGCAGCACACACAAAGCATGCAATGACTGTGGCAACTTTAACGTTTGAAAGGATACTATGGCCAATTTATTGCTTTCTTTATTCAAACATTTTTTTTTCATGAATATATGATTGACCTGAAGAATGAAAGCTGTACCATACACTTGGAAAATTATGAGCTATATCACCGCTTATCGACACTAGGGGTGTTTACAATACACTTAGCTCATGAGATGAGACAAAATACAGATACTTGGTTCACTAGAACGTGACAATATTTTAATACTATTTTAAAGAAATTTTCAATGACAAAACATTTGTCTTTTAATGACAAAAAGTAAAACAATGCAGTTGTATTTAGAAATATTTTAACTAATCGAGGGCTGTAACTAATTATTATTTTGGTAATCAAGTAATCTACGGATTATTTTGACAACAGAGTAATCTGATATTTTTTAGTAACAAACAGACCTAAGTGAAAACCAGGCTTTAGTATGACTATTTACATATAAACTAACGATGAGGCAAGAATAATTGGCTCAAATAAAATACCAAAACCAAGAAATTACATGATTGTATTGAACAACTGTTAAAATACATAATGTAATATGCCTATACATAATATGAACATAACCAACTTAAGTACATTATGTATTAAAACAAATACTTGCAGAGGGCGCCAACGGCCTGGTGACGTTTCACTTTACAGCGTGATTAAACGATGTTTAAATCCATTTAATTTTAATATTTGGCCACATGCAGAAACTTTTATTTTGAAATCGCGATGTACAATGCATGGCATATTTAGACATAGGTTGATGTATTCTCCTGTGTTGGCAAAGGTTTATAAATGATTTACGTTACAAATCTAGTGAGATAATGCACACTGTTTTTCCAGATGAACGTTAAGCCATTCAAATTCACGGCATATGCAGAGGAAGAGTTTAGCCCCTTTCACACGTACAGTACTGGTAAATTACCGGTAAGTTACCATTAATAAATCATGTGTGAACAGGACCTTTTCAAAAATCCCGGTTAATTTTATGGAGATGACATGATTACTCTGAGCTGTTTACAAAGCTCCGCTGCTTTTTAAGGAGTTATTCTATGTAAATATGCACTAGATGGACATCTTTGACCATTGCGCCTCGCAGCTTTTTGTCGCACTTCTCCATTCATCAGGGCTCTGCAGTTGGATACTATTATGCGCGCCTCGTGTTTATAAGAGCAAAACATTCTGATTGGCTAGTAATGTTAGTTTGGTTGAGAGTGAAAGCTGTGCTCCTCTCATAGCATTGGTGGGCGAACTCATGGACTCGAAAGTGATATCAATCAACAAGATTTCATTTTTTTTTTAAATGTAGGACTATTTTTTTCCGTAGCCAAACGCTGCACGCCAGAGATCCGGCACGGTGCTGGAGAACTTTAAGCCCTGAGCATCAAACAAACAATATAATTCTTATTCTCAGTGATTAAAGATTTAATGAAAAGATTGAAAAATGACTGCACAACCACCAATTAGGTGGTGATATGCACTAAGTATGTAAAAGGCCATTGAACAAAAAAAGTAGTAGTATGGCGTGCTTTTTCTTAGCGTTCATTTCCACAGTGACTAGTCAATTCGTCTCTCTGTTGAGAATGTCTTGTGTGTTAACCGTGAACATACTCTGAGTTGACTGAACTTACTTCCGGACACGTTTTTGGAATCAGCATACCTCAAGTAAGTAAAGTTTGGGTTAATCAACCGAGACGTCATGGTATATGTGACAGTAAGTTAACCTTGCTTCCTGGAATACCCCCCAGATGATCTTATGGAGTATTTATATTTGTTGGGTAAGATTCAAGACAAAGAGTGTGGGATTTAGACAGGTCAACGTAAGGCTATTGTGTGTGTCAAACTGACTTTATGAGGAGGCTTGTCTTATTTATCAAATGTAAACACGTCATATTATTAGGTCATTTTTGTTGGATTAGGATGCTTCGTTTAGACTAGTTTAGGGTACACAATATGTATCATCATTATCAAGAGGGCATAATAGGGTGCATAGATTATGTATTTCGGTACTACTAACCGACTTGTTTGGCCTCCACAGCAGCAGTGTACTCTTTGCTGAAGCTGAGCTCTGTGATGGCCACGTCGTCCAGGATGATGTTAAAGTCTTTAGCTCTTTCGATTAGATCTCGCCTTATAAGTAGTGACACCTGAACACCAAAACAAAACAACACATAAATAACAGCTAAGGCTCATTTTCTCAGTAACTGATCAAATCATCAACAGACATGCAGATAAAATAAGGTCCATAAGTGAAAGTGCTTATGCTTAGAATTGTTCTTACTTACAAAGTTTTTCAGTATATAAATGTCCTAGTATTTGCTATGTCCTTCTTATGCTTTAGTGACAGTAACATTTGAGCTGACATGAAGTCTACAAGTTTGTGTAAAACTCATGTTACCCAACTCAAACTTATGTAGATTCGATAATGTTCAACATAAGTGCTTCAATAGAATGCCATACTTTCAATGTGGTCCTTTGGACCCCACTGTAGAAACACTGTAATACATTTTGGTCACAAGTCTTAATTTCTAGACCTGACCAAACAAGCAGATATTTTAATATGAAATATTTCATCTAGTGTGTCTCGGCTCTTGTTCCATCTTGTCCCAGCTCTTGTTTTAGATGAGTGTGTGAAATATCGGTCAGTTTTTGTAAACAGCTCTGTAACTAAGTTAAGGCAGAGCTTCTTAGCCTTTGCTGAAAGTTAATCATTTTTGTCTCACACCAGGATCAGACCTGAGAAGCTGCTGACAGTGTTAAGGTCAAAGGTCAGGGACAGAAGGTGAATGTATGGGTTAGGAATGAATCTTGGGGTTATAACAGAATCTGTAATAAGATAAATACCTGATGATATTGATCCTATTCTTTAGGGAATATGACATCAGGTTATCTATTCTATGAGCATGTCGTTCAAAACCTGTGTATGACTGACTGACTTCCATTCAGAACAAAAAAAAGACATTTTGAATGTGTTCACATTGCTCTTTTCCATGTAAGTGAAATGGGACTGAGGTTACCAAGCTCCAAAAAATATCCCAAAATAGCACCATTCCTGAACCTGATTGTGAGACGAAGAGGAGATCAACTAATGATACAAATAATATTCTTCAACACAACCACAGGTCTATGGTAACTGTAAAATGACTGTAAAAACATGATTTAAACAATTTTATAGTTCAAATAATACAGTTTTGACAAAAATGTATTGACAAAGTTTTGTAAAATGATCAACTTCACACTTCTTAGGAAAGTGATTATTTGTTTTATATATTATTGGTCTGAACATAAATGGTAGAGGGCCTGAATGAAAATGCAGAAATATAGCAGTTACCATGTACAAAAATCAGTCCTGCACTAATAAAGACCATTCTATAATAAAGGCATTCTCTTGCACTGGTTTGCTAAGATGAACAGCCAATTAGAGTGAACTCTCCCACAGATGGGCTCCACCACTGATTCAACATGCCCAACAGTCACTGAACGACAACCAAACATTGCTGAAACCTGACTGCTGACTTGGTGAATCACGGCCTTCAGTCTTCATACTGTACCTGAGCTCTCTGTGTGATCAGTTGGGAGGCATTGAACTTGGCCACCACGCTCTTCAGCACCTCATTGACGACAGAAGGAAGCACACGTTCATCATAGTCTTTCCCCAGCTGCTGGTACATGATCGGCAGTTTGGAGGCAATGGGCCGAGATAGCACACGAAGACCTATGTTTACCATCTGAAGATCTGTGATGGACAGTCACATGAACTCTTTTAAGTGGCACACTCTTAACATGTTGGTTATTGAGTATGGCAACAGTGAGAGACAGAGTATGTTGCCTAGCAACATCATTTGGAACCTCTATCAAGCCAAAGTTTAACATTTATTGCATTTATGAGAATCTGGTTCAAGGTCACCTTTGCTTCCAGTGAGGGATGAAATCTTCCTGGGCCTAGCTCGAATATCATAGATGATGGGGTACTGGAACCACGGCATTCTAAATGTAAGACAGACTTATTAAGGGAACAGTTTACTGCAAAATGTAACTTTTCACATCATTTGCTCCCTCTCATGTTGTTCTGACCACATATTTTCTTTCTTGTGTGAAGCATAAAGTGAGAAGTTTAGGCAGAATGCCTAATTAACTTATTCTGCCAAGCTCCAAAAAAGCACATTTAAAGGAACAGTTGTGGATTGTGGATTATTTTGATCAGCTATTTGGACTCTCACTTTGATGGCACCATCAAAAATGAGATGGAGCCCAATGAAGAAACAAACTCATCTACATTTTGGATGGCCTGAGGATGAGTAAATTTCCATTTTTGGGTAAACTATTCCTTTAAAGTACAATAAAAGTAGTTAAATTCTTCAAAAGTTATACAATAACTCTGTGTGAGTGAGGACTAGCAAGTATTAAATAATCAACCAAAAAGTTCTGTGAGCTGAGGTGAAGATAACGTTAAGTGAACTTTATACTGCTGTTTTAAAAGTCTGGAATCAATAAGATTTTTTTTTTTTAAAGATTTACAATAAGTTTTTTTGAGAACCAAATCAGCCAATTAGAATAATTTCTGAAAGGATCATGTGACACTGAAGAGTAATGGCTGTTGAATATTCAGCTTTGTCATGACTGGAATATATCGAAAAAAGAAAAAAAAAATCAAATAGAAAAAAAGTTCTTCTATATTATAACAACATTTCAGAATTTAAAAAAAAAAAAAAGTTTTTGAGTGTACTTTTTTTTTGCTATTATAATGAAAGATCATGGCTCTAATGACAACCATTGTGTTTATTGTACCTGAAGTGCAATCCTTCTGCAAGCACAGTGTCCATCTGCATCCCTCCAATTCTGCTGAAGATAACGGCTCTCTGGCCACCCTCCACTACACACACAGCAAAACACAATTAGTTATTAAACTTCCAATACACCATGAATATTCCCCTTTTGCGTTCCACACAAGAAATTTGTATGGGTTTAGAACACGTGACTTACTAAATAGTGACAGAATTATTGTTTTGGTGTGAACTTTATTTTATTATTTAATTTTGCTAACTTAAAATAGTCCATCCTAATGAGAGGGGGGGGGGGGGGGGGGGGGGGTG